AATAGGCAGGTTAATTTATAAATGGTTAAGTCAAGATTCGAGCTAGAGATGAGATTTAATACCGGTAAATTAATTGTGTGATTGTAATACGTAGAGAAAGCCCTTTACAATCTGGTTAATTGATGCATTGATGATTAACTATTATTGATTATTGGTATTGCATGATAATTTCTTATTGAATTGTGTTAACGTTTTACAATTACGGCTTGTAAAAGTATAGCAATATTGAATTGATGAATCGAGCGGATGTTAATTTGATATTAAAGGCTATTTTCAATAAGGACTTAGATCTAGTAAATTGCGAGAGCCTGTTAGATCTATGTTGATTAATAAATTGCGAGAGCCTGTTTATCATGTTATTTATGCAATGTCAATAATAAATTACTATGTTTTACCCTGGAGTATTATTTATTGGTGAACCTATGCCCTAGATCCTTTTATATATTGTTTTCTCCCTATTCTCAATCTCCGTAGTTTAGTTTGTTATTCACATATAAATATTGGTTACTTCATAATCTAGATTATTTTAGTTAATTAGGAATAGAAAGATTTGTTTCCCTGTGGAGTTCGACCCTACTTCCCTATCTACTTTAGTTAGTGGACTTAGGTAATTATTTTTTATTAGGGGATACGACTTTACCCTGTCACTGACCTGAATTCAACCCGACCCGTTCCTTACCTGACCCGAATTTTACCCAACTTATTACAAACCTGATCTGAAATTAATCCGACTTGTTATTGACCTGACTGAAATTCAACCCAACTTGTTATTCACCCGACCCGAATTTTACCTTACCTATTACTTACCCAACCCAAAAATCTGTTACTAATTCGACTCGAAATTAACACGACGTGTTATTTTACCCGACCTAAATTCAACCCAAATTGTTCGTGACCCGATTTCAAATCACCTTAAATGAAATTTAGACCACCTTATTATTGTTGATCAAAGCATTTTGTCTTGGGAGTCCAAATCGGTCCTGTCCAGCAAAAGAAAGGAGCTTCATCCTCAAATTTAGGAGTTAAATAAAGTATATATTTGTTGTGTGGTTAAAGGAGATAAATTATCTTCCTAAATTATAGACTATAGTTCCCTAGTATATTGCCATATATATTATAGTCAAAGGAAATAATTAGCTTGATAAAAATGATAATTATCTATTTATAGTTAGTTGAACCCGAATATGACCTGACTTGGAAATGACCCGACCTGATTGTAACTTGCAAATTATTGACTTGAACATAACCCGACTTGAATCCGAGATTGACCCGACTTGGAAATGACCCAACCTGATTATAAACCCGCAAATTATTGACTTGAACCAAACCAACTTGAACTCGAGAATGACCTGACTTGAAAATGACCCGACCTATTATAATCTGCAAATTATTGACTTGAATCAAACCTAACTCAAACCCGAGAATGACCCGACCTGATTCTAAACCGCAAATTATTGACTTGAACCGAACCCGACTTGAACCCGAGAATTACCCTAACCCGTTTTAACCCGTGAAAACCCGAATTAAACTCGACCTATTGTTCGCCCAACCCAAATGTTATTAACCCGACCCAAACCCGATAGCAAGCATGACCCGATGTGACTCGACTCAAGCATGACCCAACCCAAACCCGACCCACATAGGTTATGATGGAATTAATCTGAATTGACCTAATCCGAGTTGACCCGACCCACTCCTACCCGATCCAAACTCGACCCATTTACCCGAATTGACAGCTTTAATTTGCACAATTACAATCTATATCTATATCTTTACTTAATCTATACTTCTACACTTAAAAACACAAACCAATCATGTTTATCATGCCACATGTAAACTTCTTTTTTCACCAATGCCACATGTTACTTCATTTAACTTTTTTTAAAAAAATCTCCTTTCTCATTTTAAACAAAAAAAAAATAAAAAATAAAAAAATAACCTAGCTTTAACAATAAAGGTATGGATGTTGATTGGTTCACTTTCCCCAACTTAGTAATGTATCTTCTAGACTTCTACAATTGCTACGTATTACATTCAATTTTCAACCTTATTCTCTTTTAAAAACTAGGAAAAATGGAAATAAATAATCCCATCTTTGCGTGGTCTGACAATAACAATCCCAACTTTTGATTATTACGAGGCAATCCCACCTTAACATGTCATCTTCTTTTAACAAACCTTTTTACCTACAACTTGTTAAACGGGTTAAAATATTTTATATTATTTTTTATAGCCACGTGTCATTCAATAATTGGTCAAAATAAAAAAAAAGTTTAAAACAAAAACAAGTAAAAAAAATAAATAATAATAAAAAAAACCCACCACCACCAGCCACCCCCAACCACCGTGAAACTCTAACTGTTCCCCTAGCCCCGCCAAAAATCGGTCGGCCGCCGCCATAAACCCCTGAAAATCGGCTGGAACCCCTTAATACTAAAACCCACCGCGCCGACCAAAGCCTACCCCCGAAATCACCCAGTGATCCACAATCCCACCCCCGAAACCACCATAACCACCATCCTGAAAAACCACCTAGCCGCCGTAAACCTATCGAAACCCCACACTGCCGTCGAAAACCCCACCCAGCTAGGCAGCTACCGATAAACTGACAAAAATCATCGACAACTTCATCCCAACATCCCTCCAGCCTCGAAAATTCCCACCCAACCTCCATAACCACCTCGAATATCCCCACCCTAGCCCCGAACCCCCCCCCCCCACCTAAACACCCTAAAATCATGGAAATGCATTTCCCTCAGCTCATGGTCGAAGTCATCATGGAATGTGTCTCATCTCCCTCGATGCGTGTACTTTGGAATGGTGAGAAATCCGATGCCTTTTTCCCGTCAAGGGGAATTCGCCAAGGTGATCCGTTATCCCCCTACATTTTTGTGCTTTGTATGGAAAGACTTAATCAAGTCATTGAGGAATCGATTCTTAAGGGCGATTGGAAGCCAATTCATGCAAGTCGTGGAGGGCCCTTACTTTCGAATTTATTTTTCGCTGATGACTTGATATTATTTGCCGAGGCCTCAACCGATCAAGCCTTAATTATAAAAGCATGTCTGGATCGCTTTTGCGCTGTCTCGGGGCAGAGAGTAAGTCTTGCCAAATCGAGAGTATTTTTCTCACGCAATATTCAGCAGGAAGAGCAAGAACAAATCAGTTCAGCACTAGGTATGCAAGTGACGGATGACCTTGGTTTCTATTTGGGCATGCCAACTCTAACCAATCGTGTCACTAGGGAGACATATGCTCATCTTTGCGAGAAGATCGATAGAAGACTCACGGGGTGGAAGACAAAATATCTTTCCTTGGCTGGGCGGATTACACTCACAAAATCAACTATCACCACTCTTGCAAATTATTCTATGCAAACGGCCAAGCTCCCTCGCTCGATTTGTGATGAAATTGATTAAGAAAGCTAGGCGTTTCATATGGGGCAGCTCTGATGAGAAGCAAAGGATACACTTACTCTCTTGGGACACTCTCAAATTACCAAAAGATAAAGGTGGGTTGGGCATTCGTTCGGCAAGACAATCAAATTCAACTTTCTTAACTAAGTTGGGATGGAGAGTTCTCACGGAACCGGAGGCATTGTGGTCTAGAGTCCTTCGACATAAGTATTGTAGAGGAAGGTGTGATATTGACATGTTTACACCTTCTTCTAATATGTCAAACGTGTGGCGGGGGATAACTAAAAATAGTGACTGGATTAAAAGAGGATCTCAAGTAGCCATAGGTAATGGTAGGCGTACACTATTTTGGGAACATTGCTGGGCAACAGAGAAGCCGTTGCGTGAGTATGTTTCTGATGCAATACCAGAGGCAATGGAGGGGGCTATCGTGGAAGAGATGTGGGAGATGGGGAAAGGTTGGAGGTGGGATCTTTTTTCTCACTTATTACACCAGCAACAACTGAAATTAATTGCTGCTCATGCTCTCACTAAAGACACTGAAGCTGAAGATACTTGGTACTGGAGGAGCTCTGTAAGTGGGAAATTTTCTGTCAAGTCTGCAATGAAATTAATGAGAGATGATGATGTAATTCCAAGGGATCCGAAGTGGGAATTAGCTTGGACTCTACCTGTTCAGCAACGAGTTCGAGTATTCTTATGGCTAACTCTTCATGACCGCTTGCTTTGCAACTCGAACCGATTTAGAAGACACCTCAATGATGACCCTACATGCGCACGATGCAGCCTTGGTGAGGATGAAACACTCATACATCTACTTAGAGACTACCCAGCAGCTCGTAAGGTATGGGATAGTGTTGGAGGGCCTGCTATTCTTCCTGCTTTTTTCAATGGTGATCTAAGCTCGTGGATTGTCAGTAACTTGGAAGCGAATGGAGCAATTTATTCAGAGAAATGGCCTGCTTGGTTTGCCACTACCTTATGGTGGATTTGGAGATGGAGAAACAAATTTGTGTTCAACCAAAGGGATGAAATTCCCTTGACTCAAGGGCCTTTATTAGCACTCAAGTTGAAGAGGTTTGGTCTGTCTTTTCTAAACCAAAGAATCAAGCTGCTGCTCACAGGCATGAAATTCAAGTGCGATGGTTAGCCCCTCCAACTGGGTGGTGGACACTCAATACTGATGGAGCTTCTAATGGCTCCCCGGGTTCAGCTGGAGGAGGAGGGATACTTAGAGATGAAGAAGGCAGATTTATTGCAGGATTTGCAGCACATCATGGCATATGCACAGCCTACAGGTCAGAACTGTTGGCTCTGGAGCAGGGTCTCAAGCTAGCTAGACAGAAGGGCATTTCTAAGCTGGTGGTTCAAATGGATAACAAAACTTGTGTGGAAGCCATCACCAATTCAGATCAGCAGCGTAGTGAATGTGTTCACATCATCAATAACTGTAGGAATATTTGTAAATCTTTTGGTTCTTTCTTTGTTATTTTTCATTGCTTTTGGGAGAGTAATAGGGTGGCGGATAAACTTGCTAATATGGGAGTTTATCTCGAGGAAAGGGTTGTTTATTTCGATGCTCCTCCGATCGAAATAAAGAACCTTTTATGGGAGGATATGGACATATGGTTGGTGTGGCTTTGCCACGGTTGGTGGTGTAATTTTCTGTTTTTGTCTCTTGGGTTCTTTCCCTCCTTTGCATAAAAATAAATAAATTAGAAAGCCATTAGGAAGACCGATACATAGAACAAGGTACTAGCATTCTGCAACCTTCTCGAGTAGTAGAAGCAGCCATTGAAGAAGAAGAAGCTATTTCAATGGAGGAAAACCCCAAACTACTCATTCTCTACGCTTCTCAGACCGGTAACGCCATGGACGCTGCTGAGCGCATCGGCCGTGAAGCTGAGCGCAGATGCTGCCCTGTCTCTCTCTACTCCATCGACCAATTTGATCCCGTAATTTTCATCTCTCTCTCTCTCTCTCTTCTTTCCTTCTGTTCTTCAATTTTATGCTTTCTTTTAACTACAATTGGTTTGTTAATTGCTTGATTGTTGAATTGTATGTTGAAATTGGTTAGATATTTTTTAAAACTATATCGAATGATTGATTATTGACTAATTGTAACCCTAGCTTTTGTTAATTTGTTAAAGATAGAATTTTGTTTTGATGTAGTTATTGAATTATTGATTTTAGGCACGTAAATGCATGAACTATTTGCAGAATATTCTTTAATTGGGGAATTAATGGTATTATGTGGTTGATTAAGGTAAGTTTGCTTCTATGAACTGTTTGGTTAATGAGTTATTATTACTCTGTACATGAGATTGCCTGAACATTGATATTGGGCATAGACTCAATTCAGAACTTTGGGAAAAATCATTGCCTAAGTGTGTGTGCTCGAGCGCGTGTGATTCTAGACTAATAAGTTTTAAGAGTGGAATTTCAGGTTTAGATAACTTAGTGATTGCTATATTCTCTAAGTACTATGACATTATTAGTGTATATTCTTTGATGTATAATTGTTTCTTGTCATAGAGCCTGCTGCCGAGTCAAAGAGCTGTAATTTTTGTTGTCTCTACCACAGGTCAGGGTGACACTCCTGATTCAATGAAGGTTAGTAGCAAGTGCAGAACATTGTTCTGAGTTGAGAGTTTGTATTTTTTTTGTTTCAGCGACTAATGAGTAATCTGGTTGGAAAAACAAAAAAAAAAAATAGGTGTTTTGGAGGTATCTACTGCAAAGGCACCTTACTCAAGACTGGCTGGAAGGAGTACACCATGCAGTTTTTGGATTGGGAGACTCGGGATACCAGAAATACAATGTAATATTTCTAGGGCTCTCTTTATCGTTGGGGAACTACGGTACCTCTTTCTCTCTTGGTAGGATTCTTGGCATCTGCTTATGTTGTTGTATATCTAGTTTTTTATTCTAGCCTATGTAGCATGTGTCATACTGCTTAAAAAGGTTACCATGAGTGGGACATAAAGGAGCATTCCAATGGGTGTTATCATTAATATATCAACATCACTAATGAACGTACAGTCCATTGTCTACAGTAGACCAATACATTAAGAAAAGAACTTCCTACTTATGCGCCCATATATAAGATAGATTAGATTAAGGAACCAACTTTTGTATCTGCTAGCTATTTTCTATTTGTATGTTAAACATTGCCTTTAACTGCACTCATTCAATGCCTTCAGTCTTTATGATAATTGCACTTTGAGAGTCAGATAATCCATTTTCAGGCATTGATAGGAACCTTATTTTCTTTTGTAGTTTGTTGCAAAGAAGCTGGACAAAAGGCTTTCAGGTCTTGGTGGAACACCTATTATTGAAAGAGGTCTTGGAGACGATCAGCATCCTTCGGGGTAGGGTTGGATCGATATCATTTGTTGATTCTAAACTATAAATCTATCTCTCTATGACTGATCAAGTTTTTATACCTATCAGATCATGTCGTCCATGTTATGCTCATCTTTTCTTGCATCATCTAAAATTGTTAATTTTCACAGCTCGTAGCTTTACTGTGACTCATTCAGTCTATCTATTGACAAAATTTCTTCCTTCATTGATAAATGATAGGTATGAGGGATCTTTAGATCCTTGGATGTCTTCATTATGGAGTTCATTGAATCGTATATATCCAAGCCTCTTTCCAAATGGGGTAGATGTAGTTCCGGATATGAAACTTATGAATCAATCTAAAGTTTCTGTAACATATCATGTCAACGATGTGGCAAGTTTACTATACTCAACTTCTTCGGGTAACTTGTTTCGCTTAGCTTTAATCTTTTTAGAGTTTTTTTCCTGTCTCAATCTAATATAGTTCTCTGCTCTCCTGAGTCCTGTCTCACTCAGTTCGATAGTTAATATTCATTATCGCTGAAGCTTTGAAGGTTTATGGCTTTATAATTATTTTCATAACATACTGCTTCCACAGTATAGGAGTCATTGTTTATTTGGTTTTTTTTTTTTTTTTTTTTTTTTCAGATTTTGAGTCCAGGGCATTGCTAATTGAAAGCGCTCGCTTGATGTCTCCCGCTAGATTTCCTGCAGATAAGAGTAGGCCTCAGTGCTGGTTAAAAATGGTATTCCCACTTCTATTTTCGTCTGAATGTAATATGTATAATTATTCTCATGGTGATGAGATATTCTAAAAGGAGGCTACGCCTAGTGGACTATGCCTTTTGGATTGTATGTTGAATTTGGTTTCTTGTAAGATCTCTTTTTGGTATAGGCTATAGACTATTCTTGTATGTTCGATGTCAGAGAGATTTATATTCGTCCTTGGTTTTCTTCTCTTTTAATTTGTTATTGCCTTCTTCCAACAGTATTTCTAACCTACAAAAGGAGCCTGGAAAAGGTTTAGTAAGAAGTATGTTAAACATCTCACTACAGAATAGTTTGTGTAAGTATGGAGATATAGTATCTGTAATAGACTAATAGTTAGTGTGGAGGAAATTATGTGTACATGCACTTGCTGGAGTTTTTGTATGTTTTTTTTTATTTTATTTATTTATTTTTTTTATTATTATTTTCTTATTTTACTACTTGATTGGTTGTATATTTTTCTTTCAGACAAGAAATTGTTCACTAACACGAGAAAGCTGTGGGAGGGATGTCCGCCATCTTGAATTTGAATTTCATTCAAATGTAAGTTTAATTAAAGCAATACTTTGATTAGCAAGGTAGCCTTAGTATAAATAAAGGGTTTCCTTGTTGAAGTAACTCAATCATATTTCAGGCAGTTGGATATGAAGTTGGCAATGTGCTTGAGATACTTCCATCTCAAAATCCTGATGCAGTAGATGCATTCATACATCGTTGTAAATTGGACCCTGAAGCATTCATCACAGTATGTAATTTTAACCACTTAGGTCCTTTTGTTTATTTATACTTCGTGAACTTTGAAGATGGAAAATGAACTTTAAGCTGTTACAGAGTAAATATTCATTTTCTAGGAAGTGGAGAATGTTATTTGGTTAAACATGGGGCTTAGGTAAGCATCTTCCTCCACATTGTGGGAACTGGAACCTCCTAAGATATGCCACTTCCCATGCTTTTGTTAGCCAATTAATGTCACACTCTTCCACTTCCTATGAAGTTCTACTTCCCATGAGTTTTGGTGTTAACAAACAAACACTAATATAGGAGTGCAGAACTAAAATAGGTTGTGGCCGTCATAAACTTAAGTTTTATGACAACTTAATTGCTTGCCCTTGAAAATGAACAATAGAAACTGATTGGTGATTTTATAATTCCAGCAGAAAACGTTTAGATATATCTAGCTGTACTGATGCAGTCCCTGCCTTAAGTCTATGAATAAATGGAAATATTATCATCAATGCAGGTTCAGTTGAGAGATTCAAGCAATGCTACTGCTGCTGCATCTAGCGTGCCCATCAGACTAAGAACATTTGTGGAGTCGACCATGGATGTTGACTCAGCCTCCCCCAGACGTTATTTCTTTGAGGTACTAAAAGTTCTGCCTGGAAGTTGACAGATGTTTGCCCACTGTCATTCATTTTTTGAACATTCAGCTTTGGTATATATTGTCTCCATGCCTTGTAATTAGTGCACTGATAGGAATGCTTTAAAAGAGCACTGGTGGGATTTGGTTTTCTGAAAAACCCTTAAGAGTGAATTGTTTATATATTCAGTCACCTTTCGTGTTTGATAAGGGTTTTATCTTGAATATCTGAAAGTACATTTCAATGCAGGCCCCTACTTTATATGTAATCTCAGACATAAGGCTACATTTCTATAACTGCAATTATAAGGCTGCATATTCCCTTCCCTTCCCAAGGTAGTGGGAGCCTCTTTAAAGGCATCGGGTTAATGCTGGTGTTAGTATTAATTATTTTGATAGGTTCTAAATATCTTGTATTGCAGGTGATGAGTTACTTTGCCACTGCTGAGCATGAAAAGGAAAGACTGGAATATTTTGCATCAGCAGAGGGCCGAGATGATTTATATCAGTATAACCAAAAGGAAAGAAGAACTGTCCTTGAGGTGAGTTTTTTCTTTTGTTCTTTAGCTCGGAAGCAAACTTGACATATCCCTATTGTCTAATATCTCTACAATTTCTTCCACGAGTATTTTCATAAACTTAGTCGATGGATTTTAGGTTCTGGAGGATTTCCCATCTGTCCAAATGCCATTTGAATGGTTGATCCAGCTAACGCCCCCTCTGAAAAGCAGAGCCTTTTCCATTTCTTCCTCTTCTGTCGCTCATCCTAATGAAGTGCACTTGACCGTGAGTGTGGTGACATGGACAACACCATATAAGAGGAAAAGGTCTGGTCTCTGCTCAAAGTGGCTTGCTGCACTTGATCCTCAACAAGGTGTTTGCTCCATCACTTGATCGTTTAAATTGATTATGACTTATTTGTCAAGACGTAAAATGCTAATTTTTCTAAAATTATGTAAATAGGGGTTTTTGTTCCTGTATGGTTCCAGAAAGGGCTTCTTCCCGTCCCATCTCCATCATTACCCCTTATTCTCATAGGACCAGGCACAGGTTGTGCTCCTTTCAGAGGATTTGTAGCAGAAAGAGCTGTCCAGAGTCAACATGGTCCAACTGCTCCCATTCTCTTCTTTTTTGGTTGCCGGAATAAAGAAGATGATTTCTTATATAGTGATTTTTGGTTGCTCCATTCACGCGATGGAGGGGTTCTTTCAGAAGAAAAAGGTGGGGGGTTTTATGTTGCATTCTCGAGAGACCAGCCACAGAAAGTTTATGTACAACATAAAATGCAGGAGCACGGGCAGAAAGTCTGGGATTTACTCAGTAAAGGGGCTTCTGTATACGTTGCTGGTTCCTCAACCAAAATGCCTTCAGATGTTATGTCAACTTTGGAAGAGATCATTAGCAAACAAAGTGGGGTTCCAAAGGAAGCTGCTGTGAGATGGCTCAGGGCATTGGAGAAGGCTGGTAGATACCATGTTGAAGCATGGTCCTGAAACATCATTACTTCCTTTTTTTTAAAAAAAAAATAATAATACTTCATTATTAACCTGAAAAAAAAAAAAAAAAAATTGCTTGGATACTGTTGAATTCATGTTTTAGCATTTACCATAGAACATTTTGTAATCAAGAGTATAATTGTATTCTTTACCAAAGCACCAAAAGTTGAAAATTTAATGGAATGTACCCAAAGCACGTTGATCCATAACTTAGTTACGTCAAAATATATTTTCCAGTGCTGAATTTGAAGGTTATAATACACGAAATCGATCCACTATCAGAGATTTTGAGACGCGATCTTGAAAAATCAAGTTATGGTATGGGATACATCCCAAGTTCATATAATGTTATATGTACTCATATAGTCAAATATGGTTAATAATCGGTTACATAAAGGGCCTTTCATTTTTGGACCCTTTAAAAATGTCGAAAATTATCCAAATCTAAAGTCTATAAGCTATGCTTCTGAACCAATTTTGGATTTATTTTTTTTTTCACAATTGAATTGAATGAGGGCAATGTCTTTTTCAAGGTCATACAAATTGGTTTGGAACCATAACAGACCTATAGGCTATAGGTTTATAAAATTTTAAGAATGAACTAGGTTAATCGGCTGTTGCGAAATATAAGCATTTGAAGTCAAGATGTACAAGAGAAGATTCTAAAGAGTACAAGAGATGGGTTACCACTTACTCCCGAAGCCCTTTGGGAACCCCGTAAACACCTTAATGCATAACCTAACCAAGTCCACAAATGCTCCCCTTTAGCCAAAATTGAATGTTATATTAAAGCAATTTGAAGCCAATCACACAAATATTTTAATTAAGAAGACATTTTTGGTGCTACCAACTTCACGACTTTTGACTAATAGCTAAAACATGTTTGATAAATGACACTATCCCTTCTCAATTGACAATTGTTGATGCCACTTATGACAATGTGTTGTACCCTTTCCTATACTTTGTGTTCACTTGACTACTCTATGAGGGCTTGTTCTCTTCAGCCTAATTTCAATTTAGTTCAGCTGAGCTCGGTTTAGTTCAGTTCCTAACTTCCTTCTCTCACAAACATTTAAGTTGAGCTCATTTCAGTTCAATTTAACTCAGTTCAGTAAGTAAATAAAAACAGGCCCTTAGTGAAAAGTTCAAATGAAATAGTGTTGGGTGCACCTATGTTGTAGCCCGCATTATTGAGACTAAGGCCTTGTTTGGCAAAAGGTTGTTGGCGGTTGGCTGTTGGCTGGTTCACTTGGCTTGTTTGACCAGCTGGTATGTTTGGCTGTTTATAATGACGTTTGAAATTGGTTGTTAAAGCTGGCTGTTTATAAAAGTGTTTGGTAAATTAATTGTTGGTAGTTGGCTGTTTATCAGATAATTTGTGGGCCAACAAGCCAAAAGCCAACAAAAAAAAGCTACTCAAAGCAGCTTTTTCATTTTGGCTTAAAAGCCAGCTTTTTCATCGGCTAAAAAGCCAATTACCAAACATATTTTTTGGCTGTTTGACCTCATATAAAAGCCAAAAGCCAAAAACTAACCAAAAAGTCACCAAAAAGTCAAACATGCATGAAAAAAGAAAAGAAAAAACCAGAAAACACCTCATGACCTCATTGAGAAAATTTCCTTATCCTACAAGTGATATATCTCAGTGAAACACCCCTTTCTCATCTCTCTATCTCCTTCTCTCTCTTTCTTCATTTTTTGAACTCAAAAAATGCTTTCAATGGCGGTTCAACCAAACATCAACGCCATTGTTAAACCTTCAGCATACCCATCTCAAAAACTATCACTTAAACCCTTTAAAGCTCCCGCCTTTGCAAACCCAAAACCCTTTTCTTCTTCATCTTCATTTCCTCAATTGAACAAGAAATTGAGGAATTCCAGTTTTTCTCTCTCTGCTGCTCCTGAAACCATTTCTGATATCGCCATTGCTGGGGATGAGATTGACATTGAAGATGACTTGCTAGTTACCAAAGAGGTTAGGCTACTCTTCCCTCTTTCTTTCTTTTGTTTTATTTTTTGGCTGAATTTAGCCTATGTCATGAAATTATGTTAATCAATCTTTGTGTAATTGAAAATTTTGATGTGGGGTTTTGTCAGAATTCTGTTTTAGGCATGAATTGATTTAGTTGGGAGAGTGATTTTGATGATTTGCTTGATTTTTGTTATTCAAATTTGGTTTAATTGGAGATTTTGATGTGTTTGAAATATATATTTGGGTATTTTTGTAATGCTTGTTTGATTGTTTGTGCCGAAGAAATTGAGTTTCATGTTTGTACTGTACTTAATCAACAATTTTATGTGATAATATTGAATGAATTACAGTAGGTTATGCTCGTGTATTGAGCTATAGTTAAAAATGCAGGTAGTTATTTCTGCTACCCATAAAAAAATACTTGTTGTTAATAATGAAGATTTCTTGTTGAACTAATAATAATTAATAATGTTCTTTGAACCTTTGATCATATCATATGCTTTGAAATTGGTATGCTGAGTATAGCATATTATTTGGTGAGTAGATTGTGTTTAAGTTGTGACTGATTTGATTTCGTAATTATGCTGTCAATGTAGAAGCTCAAAGTGGCTGTGAAGCCAATGGATAAACCGAGGCTAGTATTGAAATTCATATGGATGGAGAAGAACATCGGCCTTGCCCTGGACCAAACCATACCGGGACATGGCACGATTCCATTAAGTCCCTACTACTTTTGGCCTCGGAAAGATGCTTGGGAAGAGCTCAAAGTATTGCTTGAGAATAAGCCCTGGATATCTCAGAAACAAATGATCATTCTTCTTAATCAAGCAACTGATATCATCAACTTGTGGCAACAAAGTGGTGGTAATATTGCATCTTAGAGTACATGTTATATGATATATTCTTGTTAGTAGTCGTGTGTTGTATCTCGTGTTTGTAGGAGTTCTCAACTAGAGTAATTGCTGCTACTTCGCTCTTATATCTAGTTGATTGATAAAAGCCATCAAACATAAACATGCTATATTACTTTGAATTTATGTGTCTATTTTCTAAGGTTCAATTTTCACAGGAACTTCTCTTTGATTTGTTCAATGCTTCTAATCGTGTTTGGTCATACCTTATACAAATCTGTTGATCAAACATGAATGTCTTATCACTTTGAATTTATGTGTCTATTTTCTAAGGTTCAATTCACACGAGAAGCACACAGAAACTTCTCTTTTGCTTCTTCTACACTTCTAATTATGTTCAGTCATACAAAGTATGTCACGAAGTATTAGAAAATACATCCTTGTTTACAAACATAACTGTTTAAACAATAGAGGTATTATTATCATCAAACTGTTATTGATTTTTGGTATGTTCAGGAAAGAAATGGAGCGAACTTTTGAAAAAACTTAGCAAATGGAGTACATGCTAAGGTTAAAACCTGTTAAGATTTTGATCTTGTTATATAGATCTCAGTGTTTAAAAAAAAAATGATTTCACTAGTAAATACGAAGTAACTGAAGCTATTAATGTTTAAGTTGTGCATTGGGATGCATAAAGCTTGACTTGTTGCAAAAACAAAGAACGGAAGAAGTATTTAGGATCGCATTATATGAACAAAACAGATGGCTAGACTAAGAGGTACTAAATTATATGGTTATTATTATTATTATACAAAAATTTACAAGTATTTATTGATTATCATACAAGAACATAAAATTATTAAAACACCATGATAGCTTTTGCTTCATATAAGATTGTGGTTATACTATACAGTTTCACGTCCAAATGGTGGAACTTCCACAGCTGCATAGTTATCCTGTTCCGAGTGAGATCAACCATAGAGAAACCCCGGCCCCTTTAAGTTGCAATGTGTTTCAACCTCGTTCTTCAGTCTTCGATCACAAATATGTACGTTAAGGAACAGACCAAATTCCTTATCTTAGGAATGGAGTTATTATGAAAAATAAGATTAGCCCTGTTTTTTGCCTTCGAAGGTTCAGTCGGAAATGCTGTACATGCATATTTTAGGAATGGAGTTATTAAGAAAAACATCTCAGCATAACTGCAAACTGATGCCATTGTTGGATGCAATTTCCCTAAGAAAGCTCGTTTGGGTTTCCAAACTCGGTCTTCTTCTTGATAGCTTCTGTATAATCTGTAACAAAAATCAACAACGTACTTTAAAATTAATCAAAGCTTATACCATGCACCTAAGAAACACAGAAAGACGTATACAAACCACAGTACAAGATATAGCGCGTATGAAAAGCCAAATAGAATACTTTGGCTAAACCCTTAAGGGGACGTTTGGTTCACAGACTGGTATGGGGTTGGAATCAGGAATGAAACCTTAGTGGTATGTGTTTGGAACTTTATTCTTAATACCATATATTTGGTATGCTTATGGAATGCAATTTTTCTCTTTTATTTAGTACCTAAAAGTATAGGAATGAGCCAAACCCACCTTCCCCCCAAGGTTTTTAAACCCCATACCTTGGGGGTTTGAGCCTTTGAGGTATGAGTTTGAAACTCTTAAAATCATAAAATAAACATAAGGTATGAGTTTAAACCATATTATGCAAACGCCCCCTATAGCATATGTGAAATTAATAGTGCTAATTACCTTTTCATTGACACCAAAATTTCTAGGAGAATCAAGTGATTGAGACACAAATTCCTACCCAAACTTTGAACTGAAAAAATCCCGGATGTGCAGTAGTTTAGGAAAATCTCCAAACCTTGAAGACGCGTAAATTAAGCTTCCTATGGCCTCCTTTAGATCATCAGGGCATTCTCTGAAACAACAAATTACATATATTTAGCAAACAGGACAACAATAAAGCTTGAGCAAATTCTTGTAAAGAATATACAGTATTATTCCATTGATTACACATCATAAAACAGGAAAATATATAAACACTAACTTGTTTTTTTTCAATCAATGACATGTTTTGCTTAAGAAGATGGCAGTAAGATTCTATCATGTCAAAAGCATCCAACATGTTCTTGCTCTTCATCACATGCTCAACCTGTTGATCAGATGAAGATTGTTATAAGACTAGCTCATAAATATGTGTTAACGATCAATAAATCTAAAGAATTACAACTTCCGTCCAAATTCAGTTGTCATATTAAAATCACGGTATACACCATATCAACGTGATAGTTAATTCCAGACGGAGGGAGTAGTTCTTGGGGCATCCAATATTAGTAAGAGGTGGCGTGATTAGAGTAGTACTCGAAGAAGAGCTTGTTCTTGATGACCGAGGTTGAGGAGTTGGATAACATCAGACTGAGAAAAGGAGAAGACTGCTTGTTGCCGGTTCTTGAGATATGAGTTCCTAGTGATAGCATGCTCTAGCAAACTAAACTTGGAAGATTTTCTTCCTAGTAAAATATCCAATGCTTTTCCCATGTTGCTTTCGAGTTTTGTTTTCGAGTTTTGATACACTTTCCTTGTGCTCAAGAGCTTAATATGTTATATATTTGGAGGATCAAAAGCTATATATATAAGCATGGATCATTCTAGGATAAGAGAAGCGGGTCAAGGAAGAACAAACTGGGTCAAAATTGAAGGGGACTTTGATGGTTTCAAGTGAGAGGGTGCCGTGAAATTACTTAGGGTATAAATAGTAAGAAAAAGATGCCAATTTTTGAACTGCCATTGACCCTAAAACATTATGACCATGGCATAGTATATCAACAAATATTCAAATTGATGACCACCAATCCATTTTCGTGGCGGGTTCGTAGGATAATAAATTTTAGTGGTATCCAATTAAATATGAGATTATTAATTTCTTTTACAATTAAATAATTTAACTGACACGTAAGCAAAATTGATGAATGGGATTATCCAGTTTAAATTAATCTAATCTAATATATATAAATAAAGTAGGCATTTTTAGAGAGTATTGGGGATAATTAAAACAAAAAACATAGAATCTATACAAAAATATATTTTCTTGAGATTTATATATGAAAAAACCGTGCATCGCACGGGCTTTCATCTAGTTATTAAATATAAAGGGGAGTTTTTTCCCGAGTTTTTTGAGAGCCACGTAGGATTTAATTTTTTCAGCGCGCCACGTAGGATAATAAATTTTAGTGGTAGCCAATTAAATATGAGATTATTAATTTCTTTTAGAATTAAATAATTTAACTGACACGTAAGAAAAATTGGTGAATGAGATTATCCAGTTTAAATTAATTAAATATAAAATATTATCTTTTAATTTTCAGAAATTTTATCTAAACATTTAACAATTTTTAGCACATAAATATCTATGTAAAAATATTATTTTAAAAAATTCAAACAAACCGTGCATTGCACGGGCTTCATCTAGTTATAACTAGATGTAAGCACGTGCGATGCACGGTTTTCAAATATTTTATTTTGTATATTTTTTTGTAATTTCTTAATATTTTTTGTTTTTATTTTCTATTCTATTATTTTAACATTAATTTAAGGTAAAATATTTTGTTAAGTTTTAAATTATTCTTATTCAAATTTTACGTATATAAAACTTGAATTTATAAATTGAAATAAATATTATCTCATTCATCGGATAGTTAGATAAAATCATTAAATCAAAATATATTTTTTAATTTCTAATTATTTGTTAAAATAATATAAATCCTAATGTAAAATATAATATAAAAGATAATTTTAATTTTTTTTCATAATTTAAATCTGAAATTACTATTTTTTGTTTTCAATTCTCAAATTTCATTTGTTAATTTTTTCTTAAATGGCGACTGAAAATTAAAATTCTAAATTAATATATAAATCTAATTTTTCATTGGTCGAAATATTATTTTTGCTTATGTGGCGTGCGATGCACGAATTTTTATATAAATATTATTTTGGTTATCTCTTAATTTTTTTCTTGCATTATAAGTTTTAAAATTTTGTATGAAAGTATCATATCATCAGATATTTATAATATAATGTTTAGTTTTTTAAATAATATAAATCCTAATATCTAAAGATAATTTTTAGTTTTGTAACAAATAAAAATGATATAGTTTTTTAAATAATATAAATCCTAATATCTAAAGATAATTTTTAGTTTTGTAACAAATAAAAATGATATAGTTTTTTAAATAATATAAATCCTAATATCTAAAGATAATTTTTAGTTTTGTAACAAATAAAAATGATAAAATTTAGTGTTCTTAAATAATTAAAATCCTAATAAATAACTATTCGTCGTTTTTACCTACGTGGCAAAAATTTAAAATTTCATTCGTCACTTTTGTTTAGGTAAAATCCTAATAAATTACTATTCGTCGTTTTTACCTACATGGCAAAAATTTAAAATTTCATTCGTCACTTTTGTTTAGGTGGCGAGTGATTTTTTTAATTCTAAAATAAAATAGAAATCTAATTTTTAATTGGTCGAAAATATACCTTTTCTTATGTGGTGCTCCCCAATGCTCTCAAAAAATACCTACTTTATTTATATATATTATATTAGATTTATGTTTATCATGCTTTGTGAATTGTGATTCAATAATACATCACAAAGAAAAATTATAATTTTTTTTTTTACATATAATACATCAGTTTGACCGACACATTTGTTGAGGTGCAACTTTGACCATTAATATCTTTAATTGTCTTGTCTCAAGACAAGTAGTTTGTAAGAGTCAAACTTGTGACCTCAAAGTCACATGGTGAAACTCTAACCAACTATGTCAAATACTATTTGTTTACTTCTATACACATAATTGATAATAAGTGAATGAAATATTAGAGACATAATTGAAAACTCTATCTTTAAATTAGGAGAAATAAAACCGGGATTTGTTAAACATCGCCCACAAATTACTACATAAAGCCCACAAAATTCACTTGGTTTCCCAAAATTGCCCTTGACCTTAAAAAAAAAACACTCACACTCTCATCACTCACACTCTCATCACTCACACTCTCATTGCTCATCTTCTTTCAACCTCTCTAAAAAAAAAAATTCAAAATAACGGCAATGTCGAGGCGGCAAGGCAAGGAAGTGGCGGCGGCGGCGGAGGGAAGGATGTCCCAAGGTGGAAAGGTATATTTTGTTTTAAAAAAAAAAAGGGGGAAAACCGCCGTGAACGCGGTGGGGCGCCCTGGCTGGACGCCCAGCCGGCGGTGGTGGCGCCAGATGCAGACGCCGCCACCAGTTGGCTGGCGCCTGGGCTGGACGCCACCGCCACGGTTGTGGCGTTTAGTCTAAGCGCCGCAGCCGTGGCAATGGCGTCCAGCCCAAACGCCAGCCAACTGGTGGCGGTGTCTGCATCTGGCGCCACCACCGCCGGCTGGGCGTCCAGCCAGGGCGCCCCCCCCCCCATTTTTTTTTTTTTTTTTTTTTTTTTAATTTTTTTAAAAAATTGTTTTTAAATTTTTTTTTTTTTTTTTTTGTAATATAATTTTGAATTGTTTTTATATTTTGTTGTTTATTTTTATAAATTTTTTCAATTTCGTTGTATTTTTTCTACGTTTATATTTTGTTTACTATTATTTGTTTGTTTTTAGTGTATTTGATTTGCGATGATGATTATTTATCGTATAAATTTTTGTATGTTTATATATTTTAAAATTTTGTGTAGGGTCGTCATGGTGGGGGGAAGAATATAGAGCTTCTTAGTAGAAGTTATTCAGTGGAGAGGTCGGGGCATAGACATGTCAGATCCCGTGGTATTTCGGCCTCAGTTCGTAGAGAACGGATCCACCGTCGGGATGAGGATGACGATGACGATGATGATGCTGAGGAGGGTGACCAGGAGGAGGAGCAGGAGGAGGGCGCAGATGAGGATGAGGATGTGGACGATGGCAGTGGACCGTATGATGATTACGGTCCATTCAGTCAGAGGGTTGATGACATGTACGAGACGCATATGGTGGAGGTGCGTAAGGGTAGGGGTGGTAGGTTTGTTAGTAGATCTGGCACATCATCTGCGTCCACTGTCTCTGGGGCAAGCAGGAAACGGTCGAGGGCGGGTAATGATTCTTGGGTTGTTAGGAGTGAGGTGCCCGGTGGGCCTGTTGACGGGAGTGTGATTCCTAGCTTTCTAGGACACATAGCTGCCCGTATTTGGGAGGACCAGGAGAGGCCTTCAGTTACGGGGTTGTTGAAATGTCATACCCGGGAAAAGACTTGTAGTTTTTTGCGTACATGGGCTGAGGCCTGGCCGGCGGAGAGCGAGATGTTCGAGCGACTGGAGGGCACTAGGGTGAAGCACGTTCCTGCCACCATGCACGATAAGATTGACAGTACGCTGATCACGGCTTTCATTGAGCGATGGCAGCCGGATACAAACTCTTTTCACCTTCCGTTCGGTGAGATGACGATCATGTTACATGACGTCGAGGCCATTCTGGGGATTCGTGTTGAGGGTAAACGACTTTGTGCTGTGGCTGATGCGGATCAGGCAGATTCGCTGGCGGAGTTGTTGGCGGTGGACAGGGCTGCACTGTACACCGAGGCACTAGGTGTTTGGGAACACGGAGGTGTGAAGATCGCATCTGTGTTGCAGCGGTGTTTGTACCCGAGTGCACGTAGGACGCCCGACGCACAGCTGAGTGCTTATGTTTTTCTACTCCTCGGATGTACCTTGTTTCCGGATAAAAGCGGCGGAAACAAGCTCAGGCCACGCGACATCGTAGAGGCGTGTGACCCCAACAGTGTAGGCCAGTTTTCCTGGGGATCGGCTACGTTGGCGTATTTGTATCGCCAACTAGGATTTGCGAGTCGGGCTGACGCGGCAGGTATCACTGGGTGTCTGACTCTATTGCAGACTTGGATATACGAGTATTTTCCTGCATTGCGACCACATCGTGACCCAGTTCCTATTGATGAGGGGATGCCGCGTGCTTGTGCGTGGAGTCCCCGCTCGGAGAAGAAGTCCGTTGACCGCCTCCGATCAATACGGTTATTGCTGGACAGGCTGTCCCCCTTAGAGGTAACGTTTATTTATAGAGTCTACATTTTATTATTTGCACATATTATATTCATGTTATTATATTTTATATGTTGTAATTGTACAGGTGAACTGGATGCCTTTCGGCCCGAACCCTAGTGTTAGGGTACCCAGGACCCTGTACACGGGACTCATTCAGTATCGTGACATCGTTGAAGCGTACATGCCCCAGCGTTGTCTTCGCCAGCTTGGATTTGTCCAAGTTGTCCCTCCTCCCCCGGCGTGCCCGATGAAGGCGGTCCGACCTGCATCGTCGAGGGAGTACGTCGTGGAATGGCCGGATATCATGACCGGGACGTGGGACCAGTTTCCGATGGTGGCTCGATTATGGACAGCGGAGTTGCAGCGGCCGCCCTCTGGGGTTACTCCCATGTGTGACCATTACTACATGGAATGGTTCAACCGGTATTCGCACCCGAGGTTGATCGCTGATCTCGACCACAGCGATGATGATTATGTGCCACCGCCTACTGCCACGGAAGCGGTATGTCTTTTATTATATTTATCGTTGTCTTTTAATTAAGTTTTATTTGTTGTTATTGTATTTCATCTTCTGTTTTTTGTTGTATGCAGTGGATGGGAA